CTCATACAACTGTTATCCCAATCCATACACACATCAATTGTGTAAAGCGCATTTGTACATAGTTTCTCAAAACATTTTCTCTCCATTTAAACCCCCGTATTTTTAAACAAACACACACACTTAAGTCATTTAAATCCGTAGTAGGAATATATCTCACTAGATAAATCTATTCCTCTTGGTTGGATACTTGACTCAGCTCTAACAATGAACAGCAAAGATATGAACTTTTTCAGGCACATGACTCCTTATATACATGTGAGAGTTTCTCTGAGATATGCACCCAGGTGTGGAATAGAGGAGTCCTAAATAGGACGAGATTATTTTCAATGCTCTATGTATTGCTCAATTTCTTTCCAAATGGTTGGATCCATTTACAGTCTCACGAGCAGAATTTGTGTTTCTGTTGTAGCTCTTTTCTTGTATATTATCTTAACATTTTTGTCGTTGATTTTAAATATTTGGAGATCTGATGTGCATAAAATGTTATAAAATTTATTTGCATAGTCATTTTAAATTTACATGCTAATCTATTTCATATGTGCTTAAAATGTCTTTCAATTTATAATTTGTTATTTGATCGTATTCATTATGTCTTATGATACATAATTTTTCTGTTTTAATGTAGTGAAATATGAACATTTTAGTCTGACTACCATTTGAATTTTAAATAATTTGTATATAACACAAGGACATAGAGAACCTCTTGGATGTGTCCTATTATTTAAATGTTTTATTTAAATACTTTTAAACACAGGACATTCTCTCTGGTTTAATACAAATCCTGTCAGACAAGTTTCTTTTACTCTTGGCTTATTTTGCACATATCCACTTAGATACTTGAAACAGTAATCCCTGGATAAGACAGCCAAAGTATAGTATTCACTATATGTACTGGAATTCTAAGACTGTGTTATTTTGCTTCAAATTATTATCATAGCTCTACTCCTCGAATCCAGGTTTCCTTGGAAATGAAGCCTGATAAAAAGTCATAATAAGGGATTGACAGTTTCCATTCAGAATTATTTTAGTTTTGTAGATATACATGCCAGCACATGGAAACAAAATATTTTAGTTTATCACTTGCCTCTCACAATCTTTATAGGATCTTTTTGTTTTTCTCTCTTTATATGCCAAGCTAATGAATATTAACCATGATGTGCCTGATCCTTAGATGCTGTGCTGGAGAGTGGTGAGTGCACATTTCATCCTGGCTGTGATGTTGATGCTGTGGAGCTCAGGAAAGGTGTTCTCAGTGGATGCAACAACAGAGGTAATGGAAAATAGCCTAAGGGACCATATACATTTTATGAATACAGTCAACCCACCTAAAATCAGAAGCCAGTGCATCACACAAATAAGGACATGCCAAAAATAATAATAATAAGGACATACCTTTAAACTACAAAGTCAAATAGGCAAGAGCCTCGAAAAAATTGTGGGAAAATTATCTTTCAATTCTTTTTTTTATATATAAACTTTTGAAACCTCTTTGTAGGTATTCCAGTTACCTTACTTTTATTCCCAACATCACATTCAAGGTTGTCAAATTCAAATGTAAGAAGTAATCATTATTAGCCTTGTCTTCCCAGTGGATACAGAGCAAATCAGTTGCCTAGATGTTGAAAGATTTTGGAAGCAAGAAGAAAGATTTGCATTCCTTAAACAAAAAAACCAGTATACATTTTCAGAAATATTTATTATCTAATTACTTACACCAACATGAAGTTCTTTGATGTACAAAATCAAGTTGCTCACATATCAAAATAGAAATTATTTCAACCAAACTAAATTGGTGTACAAATGTTTTGTTAGTGCTATTACTGAATAACAAAACAAAATAAATGTAAGGACATTTCCCAAAAAGTTCATTTGGTTTATTTGATTTTTTAAGAAATACATATTTTTGCCAATTTTCTCCCCTGAGGATTAAAAATTCTTTAAAAAGAACCTGACTGCTACTGTATATGTTGTATTAATTGGGATAATAATTTTGGTTTTGGATTTTGGTGGTTTTTTTCGAAGTATGATTGGAGATATCTTTGCCTCCAATTTCTTGCCTTTAGAGTTCCTTTCACATAATTATAGCACGCTTCTCAATGTGATTTCTATTAATAATGACTTATACCAAGTCTTCTCCATTTAATGAACTTCCTTAATCATCTTAGAGCTTATTTACGTACTTTTATCTCTCTCTTTTTCAAATCCCATCCACAGTACTGTCATGGAGCTAATTATCCTCATTTACTATTTTAATCTTATAAAAGAAACGAAAAGCTGCTGCTATTCACAAGCCAAAACCGACCACATGGTTTCAGTTTCTTTTTAAACTTCTAGACTTTGTCACTTCCCTAGATAAACC